ATGTATATAATAGAAGTAGACTGATGGAAATGGATTATATCTTGAACATTTATTGCTACTCAGTGAGTCACAGCCTTTGCGAGGCGAATCACAGGTAAAACAAAACAATAAATGCGTGGCGTGGCGTGGGTGCGTGGCGCGTCGTACTTAAGTGATGCTTACAACATGTCAAATTTGCGACAAGAACCAACCAAGTTAGAACAGTGTTTAGTAGAAATTTTTTGAGTGCCAAAAACCTGAGATTAGTTCATTAACGTCCAGGGTAGACATTACAGTTTATAAATTATAAACAGCGCAACGAGCCACGCGCCACGCCTAGTATTTACGGTTCTGTTTTACCTATATCTTTGATTGTAACCGTTAATTTGGCAGTTGCCTGATGATTACCTCGCAAACTGTAACTGAACTGAAACCTGGGTAGCAACAAATTTTCGAGATTTAACCAGTTTCATCAGTTCATTTTATTCGCTCTAGGTTAACTATTGAGCACTTGAAATATTTATATAGATATTTGTGCTTTATAAGTTTTTGAAATCGCCTTTATAAGTTTTTGAGCACTAGGAGTTTAAGATACGGAGACTCATGGATCACGAACTACGGCTGACGAGCATTGTCGTTTGTTTCTGTAGCACTGGGTTGAGTCGTGCAAATATAGAACGTTAAGATTCCACCACAGACGGCAGACTACGAGAGAGAAGAGGTGAGGGAAACAACACGCAAAATTTTGTTTGTTACCACAGTTCACAAAAAATGCAAGTCAGTTTTGCTGTGATCTTATCTTTTAGAACAATGAACAACATTCTTCGCTCTACAAGTTTACTTCCTTGTTCCATCAACCGTAGCTCGGGTGAAATTGGTAAACAAAGTTTTGGTTGCACAGGTTTTATTTTTTCGCCAATGAATTTATGTAAAAATATTAAAGAAATAGAGAAATAGTAATAGTTCATTTATTAGATTTAGAAGATGGACTTCTCCGATCACTGAACTGATCTAGTTTGAAGTATTGAAATGCCAGTTTCGATTGTCTCGAAGATGTTTACATCATTTTCATTCAGCAAATGCGATACAAAAAAACTCGCATAAACAAAGGTCACACAGGCAGAAAGACACACTAATCAGTTCGAACAAACATTGAAAACTTTTCAAGTGTAAGAGAAAGAAAATTACCTGCATGATTTTTCTCTCCTCGGCCATCAATCGGAATTTATATAAACAGCTAAGCTTCTTTAAAATATGAGCTTAGCTAGATAAAAATGTAGTCACACCCAGGATTAAAAGGCAAATCTGAGCAGAAATTAGACACAACTACATATTTGCCCTCTTACTAAAGTAGCAATGGAACCTTTTACGAAAAGACGAGATTCTGCATTATCGAGACGGCAAAATACGAGCAAAATGTTTCTGTAGTCCTGACTACGCGAAACAGCTCAACAACTCACCGTAGCCGCAGGACTACGTGGAAAAAATGAACAGTCACGTGGTTTTGATCATGCGCAGTAGCATGTTTATCCGTAGCCGTAGTCCGTAGTCGGCGTATCTTAAACCCCTACTATCGATGAGGACACCACTCTGGGACTTGTTGTATGTATAATATATATTATCCTTCCAGCCCTGTAAAATTTTTTTAATCTCGGTGTCCTTGTCCTCCCCCGCCCCTATCAATAAGGTATCGGTTCACCCTTTATTTGTTTATGCAAAGAAAGGATCGATACAGGAGGTATATTGTGTGACAAAAATGCAAATTAGCATATGACTGAAGGCGTGTATGGGACAAACGTTCAATCTTACCCGCACTCGGAAAATATTACAACAGACATACCCTTCACCAAACTTAAAGTGATTCATAATAATTTCTCAAGAGCTACACGAGAAAGTCACCCGAGGTGAGAGAATCCGACATGTTGAGCACAAATGAGGGATAAACACGGATGTGGAATTCAAATTCAAACATGTCAAATGCTCGAAATGGAAAAAGAAACTCAAATGGAATATGAGATAAATTTCTATTTAAAAAGGGTATCCAGTTGCTGAGTTTCAAGCTGAAGATTGATTACATTTGAGAAGAAGTTAATAACCATACGTAGTTTGAGAGTTTAACATGCTGAAATGGACAACCTGTCTATAAACAAGCACGATTTGCATATCCGACGGGTTGATCAAGAATGTCAGTTTATGGCATTTTTCGGCTTTCATTTATACAAACTTAAAAAAAGGCTAGTGAAAAGAAAACACATGTTGATAATTTTGAGGATACAACAACATTCTCAGCTACTGAGAAAATATCTACTAAATTAAAGTCACAGTGTGTGAACCGTTAATGGGCAAATCTATGCAAATAATGCCGAAAAGAGGCTCTAAAAAAACGTTTGATCACGTCCAACCCAGAACGATACCTGCACCTTTGACTTTATTTTCTGACAGAATAAGGTAAGATCTTTTCTGTGAAGTGCATTTTACCTGTGATTTTTGTACCGCTTTGGAGATTTTAGCTTTTTCGGCTTTGGAAGAATTTGTCAAGAGGAAAAAAAAAAACGCAAAGGGGGCTTGTGTTTGATGTTATTAATTTAATTTAATTTTGCGTCAAGTTATTCCATTATCCGTCACAGGACAAGTTTTTAACTGCAGCTAAATCCATTGTACTATGTAGAATTTCGCGATATTTATCCGTTACGAAGAAGCGCGGTTTTAAAATCACCGAATTTCGGCCATGGAATAAGGTTGAAAAGCGCTCAGACAGGAAAGTTTTGTGCTGTAGCGAAGCCCAGAAAAGGATTTTGAAAAAAAATTAGTTCGATTTTTAATCATTCCTCAAGTCCTTTTCACCCACAAAAACAAAGGAAGGTTTACTGGCGATCCAAACTCGCCGGACTGCTCTTAGGTGGACAGCCACTTAAAAAAAAAACGTGAGTCAACCATTCCGGCCAAATTCATGAGAAATGATACAATAACATAAATACTGTATTCAATATATACTGTGTGGCATTTCGCCACCCCATTTTAGTTTTTCTTTCCTGGACTCGACAATGAGTGGTCACGACAGATATCTACCGGTTTTATCCGAGGTTGCCAAATTTTGTAAGGTTCTGATAAATTTTCACAAAGTTATGACCATTATAAGAATTTATGCAAATTAGCCTCAGGCCATGTGCCTTAATATGCTTGAGTCTGTCCGAGGACCCTCAAGCGACGATGAAATGTGATCTTCATGCAAAATATAATAAGGCAAGTTAGCTAGCTCCTCGTACGTTCAAAATAATTTGTGGACTTCCTACTTTCGAGTTTATAACCTCCTCTTTTTAAACCAGGTTATCTATAGAAAGTTCCTCTTGTTTAGGCGTAATTAAATTTATTCCATTACATAGTTATTTGCGTTCTACTGATAGGTTTTCTTTATAGTCTTTAATTTACATTATATGTAACTTATTGATCAGGAAGAACCCCAGATGGATATGTATTCAAAAAAAATTATGTATGTGTATGAAATATTAATTTTTTTTATTTTATTCGCCCGTCATTTTAAAAATTAATATTGTACATTTGGTATTCGTAGGTATACATGAACAGGAGATCTCAGTAAGCTCAGCTGAGCTTTTAAGCGGAGATCCCCAACTTTACTTATTAATTAAATTACTAACAATAGGTTTGGCGCTTAATTCTATCGAATTTTCAAGAAATGAGGCAAGCTTATCAATTTGGGGAATTCTAATGTACTGTCACATGCCGTTCAACCTTTTAGACGTTTTTTTATTCTTCCAGAATAGTTGATCCTAACTTAAAATTCTACAAGAGAAACCACGTTTTTAAAAAAATACAAAGAAACCTAAAAACTAAAAGATTTCTTGTAAAACACAAGACTGCAAATACAGGTTCAATAGACTTAGAAATAAACAAACAAAACTCATGATCATTTACTTCAACAACTTAACTGCTTTTAAATGTCACTAACTTTATTTTGCCGATCCGGGTAACCGAAATCTTTCGTAACTGTGTATTCCTGGGTAAGTCCATTTAACCGAAACAGAATGTTTCGTGGAATCACAGCTACGATAGCATCAGCTAAATTTACAATTTTAAATGACACCTGACCAGACCACAGAGTCGTTACGTATAAGAAAAAGCTTTACATTTTGAAGAAAACCTTATTGTATTCGTAGCTATTTCTTAAGCCAAAAGCTTATTATTATTAACGTTTCTAACTGGCTTCCTTATTTTTTTATTTAAGATTAACTCTATTTCCGTAGAACTATTTGCTAATTATTCTGGTCTTGTTTTTTTACCTGTTTATGTTTCAGAAAAGACCCAAATGGGCACTATTCAAGAAGCTATTCACCATGGCATGATTGCCGCTGATTTTCTTTGGACCACTAAACGAGTTGTCCAGGCTATCGAGCTGTGGAACGAGTGCTTAACACTACTAAACAACAAAATCTTAGAAAATGAACATGGACTTGCCACAATAGTGCGTATAGCGCTGAACAAGAGGCTGTTTTATGGAAATGCTGCTATTACGAAACTTTCACCAGCTATAGAATCTGGCAAAAAGCTTTTAGTCCTACTTCGTAATCTTAGGAGAAAAAAAAAAGAAGGTAACACAGCCTTGATGTTATCAAAACTGTACCTCCAAAAAAGTGAATACCAGGAAGCACAAGCCGTCCTCAAAATTGCACTCTGCGTTTACAAAGAAATCGAAGACAAAGACGGAGAAGCGTCATGCTACGTAAACCTAGGAGCTGTGTTTCTATCTGTCGGAGAATATGCCAAGGCTGAAGAATATCTTCATAAAGCACTTACCATCAACACAGAAATTGGCGACAGAAACGGAGAAGCGACATGCTACGGAAACCTAGGAGCTGTGTTTCAATCTGTCGGAGAATATGCCAAGGCTGAAGAATATCTTCATAAAGCACTTACCATCAAGACAAAAATTGGCGACAGAAACGGAGAAGCGACACGCAGGCTACGGAAGCCTATAAAATGTGTTTGAATCTGTCGGAGAATATGCCAAGGCTGAAGAATATCTTCATAAAGCACTTACCATCAAGACAGAAATTGGCGACAGAAAGGGAGAAGCGACATGCTACGGAAACCTAGGAAATGTGTTTCAATCTGTCGGAGAATATGGCAAGGCTAAAGAATATCTTCATAAAGCACTTACCATCAAGACAGAAATTGGAGACAGAAACGGAGAAGCGACATGCTACAGAAACCTAGGAAATGTGTTTCAATCTGTCGGAGAATATGGCAAGGCTGAAGAATATCTTCATAAAGCACTTACCATCAAGACAGAAATTGGCGACAGAAAGGGAGAAGCGACATGCTATGGAAACCTAGGAAATGTATTTCAATCTGTCGGAGAATATGCCAAGGCTGAAGAATATCTTCATAAAGCACTTACCATCAACACAGAAATTGGCGACAGAAACGGAGAAGCGACATGCTACAGAAACCTAGGAAATGTGCTTCAATCTGTCGGAGAATATGGCAAGGCTGAAGAATATCTTCATAAAGCACTTACCATTAACACAGAAATTGGCGACAGAAACGGAGAAGAGACATGCTACGGAAACCTAGGAAATGTGTTTCAATCTGTCGGAGAACATGCCAAGGCTGAAGAATATCTTCATAAAGCACTTACCATCAACACAGAAATTGGCGACAGAAACGGAGAAGCGACATGCTACGGAAACCTAGGAAATGTGTTTCAATCTGTCGGAGAATATGCCAAAGCTGAAGAATATCTTCATAAAGCACTTACCATCAACACAGAAATTGGCGACAGAAACGGAGAAGCGACATGCTACGGAAACCTAGGAGCTGTGTTTAAATCTGTCGGAGAATATGCCAAGGCTGAAGAATATCTTCATAAAGCACTTACCATCAACACAGAAATTGGCGACAGAAAGGGAGAAGCGACATGCTACGGAAACCTAGGAGCTGTGTTTCAATCTGTCGGAGAATATGCCAAGGCTGAAGAATATCTTCATAAAGCACTTACCATCAAGACAGAAATTGGCGACAGAAAGGGAGAAGCGACATGCTACGGAAACCTAGGAAATGTGTTTCAATCTGTCGGAGAATATGCCAAGGCTGAAGAATATCTTCATAAAGCACTTACCATCAAGACAGAAATTGGCGACAGAAACGGAGAAGCGACATGCTACGGAAACCTAGGAGCTGTGTTTCAATCTGTCGGAGAATATGCCAAGGCTGAAGAATATCTTCATAAAGCACTTACCATCAACACAGAAATTGGCGACAGAGTGGGAGAAGCGTCATGCTACGGAAACCTAGGAAATGTGTTTCAATCTGTCGGAGAATATGCCAAGGCTGAAGAATATCTTCATAAAGCACTTACCATCAACACAGAAATTGGCGACAGAAACGGAGAAGCGACATGCTACGTAAACCTAGGAAATGTGTTTCAATCTGTCGGAGAATATGCCAAGGCTGAAGAATATCTTCATAAAGCACTTACCATCAAGACAGAAATTGGCGACAGAAACGGAGAAGCGACATGCTACGGAAACCTAGGAAATGTGTTTCAATCTGTCGGAGAATATGACAAGGCTGAAGAATATCTTCATAAAGCACTTACCATCAACACAGAAATTGGCGACAGAAACGGAGAAGCGACATGCTACGGAAACCTAGGAAATGTGTTTCAATCTGTCGGAGAATATGCCAAGGCTGAAGAATATCTTCATAAAGCACTTACCATCAAGACAGAAATTGGCGACAGAAACGGAGAAGCGACATGCTACGGAAACCTAGGAGCTGTGTTTCAATCTGTCGGAGAATATGCCAAGGCTGAAGAATATCTTCATAAAGCACTTACTATCAACACAGAAATTGGCGACAGAAACGGAGAAGCGACATGCTACGGAAACCTAGGAGCTGTGTTTCAATCTGTCGGAGAATATGCCAAGGCTGAAGAATATCTTCATAAAGCACTTACCATCAACACAGAAATTGGCGACAGAAACGGAGAAGCGACATGCTACGGAAACCTAGGAAATGTGTTTGAATCTGTCGGAGAATATGCCAAGGCTGAAGGATATCTTCATAAAGCACTTCCCATCACGACAGAAATTGGCGACAGAAAGGGAGAAGCGACATGCTACGGAAACCTAGGAGCTGTGTTTGAATCTGTCGGAGAATATGCCAAGGCTGAAGAATATCTTCATAAAGCACTTACCATCACGACAGAAATTGGCGACAGAAACGGAGAAGCGACATGCTACGGAAACCTAGGAGCTGTGTTTCAATCTGTCGGAGAATATGCCAAGGCTGAAGAATATCTTCATAAAGCACTTACCATCAACACAGAAATTGGCGACAGAAACGGAGAAGCGACATGCTACGGAAACCTAGGAGCTGTGTTTAAATCTGTCGGAGAATATGCCAAGGCTGAAGAATATCTTCATAAAGCACTTACCATCAACACAGAAATTGGCGACAGAAAGGGAGAAGCGACATGCTACGGAAACCTAGGAGCTGTGTTTAAATCTGTCGGAGAATATGCCAAGGCTGAAGAATATCTTCATAAAGCACTTACCATCAAGACAGAAATTGGCGACAGAAAGGGAGAAGCGACATGCTACGGAAACCTAGGAAATGTGTTTCAATCTGTCGGAGAATATGCCAAGGCTGAAGAATATCTTCATAAAGCACTTACCATCAACACAGAAATTGGCGACAGAAACGGAGAAGCGACATGCTACGGAAACCTAGGAAATGTGTTTCAATCTGTCGGAGAATATGCCAAGGCTGAAGAATATCTTCATAAAGCACTTACCATCAACACAGAAATTGGCGACAGAGTGGGAGAAGCGTCATGCTACGTAAACCTAGGAGCTGTGTTTCTTTCTGTCGGAGAATATGCCAAAGCTGAAGAATATCTTCATAAAGCACTTACCATCAACACAGAAATTGGCGACAGAAACGGAGAAGCGACATGCTACGGAAACCTAGGAGCTGTGTTTCAATCTGTCGGAGAATATGCCAAGGCTGAAGAATATCTTCATAAAGCACTTACCATCAACACAGAAATTGGCGACAGAAACGGAGAAGCGACATGCTACGGAAACCTAGGAAATGTGTTTAAATCTGTCGGAGAATATGCCAAGGCTGAAGAATATCTTCATAAAGCACTTACCATCAAGACAGAAATTGGCGACAGAAACGGAGAAGCGACATGCTACGTAAACCTAGGAGCTGTGTTTCAATCTGTCGGAGAATATGCCAAGGCTGAAGAATATCTTCATAAAGCACTTACCATCAACACAGAAATTGGCGACAGAATGGGAGAAGCGACATGCTACGGAAACCTAGGAAATGTGTTTCAATCTGTCGGAGAATATGCCAAGGCTGAAGAATATCTTCATAAAGCACTTACCATCAACACAGAAATTGGCGACAGAAAGGGAGAAGCGACATGCTACGGAAACCTAGGAAATGTGTTTCAATCTGTCGGAGAATATGCCAAGGCTGAAGAATATCTTCATAAAGCACTTACCATCAACACAGAAATTGGCGACAGAAAGGGAGAAGCGTCATGCTACGGAAACCTAGGAGCTGTGTTTCAATCTGTCGGAGAATATGCCAAGGCTGAAGAATATCTTCATAAAGCACATACCATCAACACAGAAATTGGCAACAGAGTGGGAGAAGCGTTATGCTACGGAAACCTAGGAGCTGTGTTTGAATCTGTCGGAGAATATGCCAAGGCTGAAGAATATCTTCATAAAGCACTTACCATCAACACAGAAATTGGCGACAGAAAGGGAGAAGCGACATGCTACGTAAACCTAGGAAATGTGTTTGAATCTGTCGGAGAATATGCCAAGGCTGAAGAATATCTTCATAAAGCACTTACCATCGAGACAGAAATTGGCGACAGAAACGGAGAAGCGACATGCTACGGAAACCTAGGGGCTGTGTTTCAATCTGTCGGAGAATATGCCAAGGCTGAAGAATATCTTCATAAAGCACTTACCATCACGACAGAAATTGGTGACAGAGTGGGAGAAGCGTTATGCTACGTAAACCTAGGAGCAGTGTTTGAATCTGTCGGAGAATATGCCAAGGCTGAAGAAAATCTTCATACAGCACTTACCACCAACACAGAAATTGGCGACAAAGACAGAGAAGCGTCTCGCTACGTAAAGCTTAAAAACACATCTCAAGCCTTATCGCATCTCTGGTCAAGCATTCAACTTTACGAAAAAATGCTTACTTCTCTAGGAAGCAAAGATAGCCACAATATATTATTTTTTGACAAGAACGCGTCTCCCTATCGGCGGTTTTGTTCATTGAGTTGTTCTTGTGGGAAACCCTATGAAGCTTTACACGCTGCTGAACTTGGACGGGCCAGAGCTCTAGCAGAACTTATGTCAAATCGCTACTCCATTGAAAAAGAAATATCCATCAACCCACAATCGTTTGTTGGCATCGCGGAAGTAATTAAGAAAAATGGCAACAGCACCTGCCTCTACATCTCCTATGACTACGATGACAATATATTTTTGTGGGTTTTGAAACAAAACAAACCGGTAGCTTTCCGAAGAACGAAACTTTGTGAAAGCTATGTTAGCAAGCATGGCAAAATCTCTGTGTATGACCTGTTTGGAAACGAAAACTTATTAAGAAAATTTCACGTTTTACCTCAAGAGCAATGCGAAGACCGATCACTCTTCTCTTCATTCGCAAACCAACTTACAAACGAATCAAATCTGGAAGATAGTCACTCAACCTTGCGTCCTCTTTTAGATGAGGCAGAAGTATACACGGACCCTGAACCGCCAACACTTTTTCAGGTTTACAACATGTTGATTGCTCCCGTGAGTGACTTGCTAGAAGGATCTGAAATCATTGTTGTTCCTGATCGCTGCTTCTTCCAAGTTCCGTTTGCAGCATTACACGATGAAAGTAGCCGCTATTTATCAGATTCTTTCAGGATACGAATTGTCCCTTCTTTGACGACTCTCAAGCTCATTCTGGACAGTCCAGCCGACTCTCACAGCGAAACTGGTGCTTTGATTGTGGGTGAGCCAAGAGTGACGGATGTGTATTTCAAGGGAGTGTTAAGGTATCTCTGTCCATTGCCTGGCGCGAAAGGGGAAGCAGAGATGATTGCGAGACTACTACCTGAATCTCACCTTTTAATAGGAGAGCAAGCAACAAAGCAGGCGGTTCTTCAGAGAATACCCTCAGTGAGCCTCGTACATTTTGCTGCTCATGGTGATGCCGAAAGAGGAGAAATTGCTCTTACCCCGCTGACTCCACAGTGGAGTTTCCACACGAAGCAGACTACTTACTGTCAATGACCGACATTTCACAAGTTAGACTGTCAGCCAAACTGGTGGTCCTTAGTTGTTGCCATACCGCACGCGGACAGATCAAAACAGAAGGCGTTGTTGGAATCGCTCGAGCATTCTTAGGATCGGGTGCACGCTCAGTGTTGGTGGCATTGTGGGCCTTACAAGACAGAGCAACAGAGGAGTTCATGGGAAGATTCTACGAAAACCTTGTCCAAGGGAAAAGTGCAAGCGAAAGTCTTCACCGGGCCATGAAGTGGATGCGAAATAACGGTTTCTCAGAAGTGAGGCAGTGGGCACCTTTCATGCTGATTGGGGATGACGTGTCATTTCACTTTGGTGAAGAAAAGTGAAGGTAATTGTTTTCTGACAATTAGAGCCATAGGAAGTCTGTCAGGTCTTTTTGTATTACACTTTTATCAACTTGGGTGCATTTGGTACTTTTAAGTACCAAATAGAAAGCAGTATTTACCCTTAAAAGCCACATTATTGACTACATCTGAAGTTAGCTTTTACTATGACTGAGGTAAAATATCAATTAACCGCTTTTTAACATTCGACCACACCTCTGTACTTATCAGTCAACCCGTACATATGCGGGGCTTTGCATTTGAAAAAAAAAAAAAGCACTAAGCCCCGAATCCCTACAACAACACAGAATGATTTAATTCTTTTCTCTCTTTTCTGATATATGAGGCACAAATAATTCAATATTCTTTTATTTGCTACGGTTCAATATGATCGTGAGGGTTTGCTGACAAACTTTTTTCTTTCTGAATATAATAGGAAGAGAATTCCAGTTATGAATCCGAACCAAACAGCCCAGGGAAGGTTTTTGTTTGATATAGATAATCGGATCAAAAATATTATGGCGGAGATCTAGATCTCAGAATTGATCGAAAACACTGCAAAGTACAAATTATGGACTGTGTATGGAGTCTTGACCGTAACTAGAGGGCTTTTCGCTGACACTGACTGAATTACAGAAGTACACTGGTTCTAAACTTGGACCAAAGAGGGAAGACCGAGATTCCATAGGTCATCAAGGCAAGAAGTTTCAAACCTATTTTAGCTGTGCACCCTACATTTCATTTGTGATGCCAATTGATTGGAAAGTTTTAGCGGTGAGATAAACTCAAATAAGTAAACCTCTTCCGCCACGATAAAGCCGGAGGATCCCTCCGCCATGTAAAATGAACCTAAATGCCACTTAGCCCAGCTGGAGTCTTTTGTGTTGAGTAGATGCGTTTTATTAATTTTATGTTTCTTATACATTACTGTTGCAGGTATTACACTAACGACACGCCATGGAATAACGAAACAGCCCTTCCGCAGAATTCCAATGAGGTAGTCCCTGGCGGATAATGTAAAGGATCAATCTCTGCAGCATACGAACATTGATTAAAAGAATTACTGTGAAAGAGAACTGACTTGCTTGGCCCAGCGATTTATCTTTGCCGGCTTAATTATTTTTCCCACTAATCTTATTTTGTGTGTGTGTGTAGGTACCTTGAGTACTATAATCTCTAAAATGTCTTGAAAAGCTCAAATCACCAGCTTTGTACATGTAGAAGTGTACATCGGTAGCTCGGACAATGATAAAACTGTAATTGTGACACGAATAACGTTAGGATTAGCTAATTTCCCTGTCTTTTTAGGTAATTTGCAAAAAAAACCTACTTCCTTAATTAGTCCCTAAGGCTACAAATAAAAAATAGTTTTTAGGTAAACAAGCTTTTTTTTATCGCAAATTGAAGTTTGATTACAATGCAAACAACATTGCAAGGTTTATAGTTTAGTAGAATTGTATATATTTTAGAGCCAATCTTTTTGTGAACATAGAAGCAGTAGTTTTGCAACCTTGCATTATGAAATAAGATTTGACGACTCAATTTAGTCAAATAAAAGCCTTGCGAAACCAACTTGTCCTAACTCCAAACTAGCCCAGTTGTAAACTTAAGGTTATTTCATTGTATAATGTTCATGCCTGAGCATAGGTTAGTATGTTAGTATAGAAGACCAGTATTTGCTTTGAGTATGATGCAAAGATTTGGTGGTCCAGTTTTCAGTAGTGCTTTGAGTACGAAAACTAATTTTAGTAGTTCGAAGAGCATGTTGCGTATCCGAGAAGGTCGCACATGGAGGTTTGATTGTAATCTGTAAATAATCTCACCAAGTTTCTTAAAATAAAGCGTATTGACATAGCAAATTCGTGTTTATCCTTTAATAGTATTTATCTATCCATTTCTCTTTAACAAAAAATATTTCCTACAATATCGGAGAGATTTAGAATCCATTCAGGTCAAACGGCAACGTCAATTTTTACGTGACCAAGGCATCAGTCTAAAAAAAGTAAATAACTAAAATTGTAATTTGTAATTTGTTTTCCCACGGAGCACTTAGAAGTTATTAAGAACTCGCTTAAACGAGTCCGTGCGTTGCTTGCGGATCGAATTGGAATTTGGAAAGGTTGGTTTTTGGAGAGAGGGAAAACAAGAGCACCCTAAGAAAAACCTATCGGCAAGGAAGAGAACCAACAACAAACCTATCCTTTCATATACCTGAAGCATGAAAAAAGGTACCCCTTTCGGTCGGAGCCTCCCCATAAAAGGCCATTATAGGGAGTAACCCCGCCCCCCGGGGAAGGGAGGCAAGACCCTCACCACTGCGCCACCCTTGCGCAGTTTTCGTCAGAAGCCGATTCAGTTGTTGTATCTACACAAAAAAGTTAGTAGTTTCATGTCGATCAGTCTAATCCGTAACAATTATTTTGCAAAGTTTGTACCTGTTCGTTTCCTAACTCAAGAAATCGAAAATGTCACCTTGGGTCTGAATGTTTGCCGTTTGCCGTAACTCTCGATTTTCCTTTCAACGACTGGAATCCATAAATTGGGTCTCATAAAAGTTACTGCCACGATCACTCCCGTCGATTCGGAATCGTAGAATTACGTTGACGACAAAGTCGAAACATCATGTTCAAGTATTACAATTACTCAAGTTAGGAAATCAACAGATAAAAACTGAAAAAATTAAATTATCCTTACGGATAAACCTGACATGAATGTCTTTATTTTGGGGTAGTAAAGATAAACATTTAATGACAAATAAAGAGAAAGCTTAGCAACATGTTTCCAAATGGCGTTAACTGTAAACGTGATTCTAAATCTCTATACGCCTGCGTTCGCACGGAAGTTCTCCAACGAACCAATGGGGCAGGAATGGTAAAAATTCTTTTCGGTGTCCGTTTTACCACCGCTGCTTTACTTCCAGAAATCACTAGCTGATCCTTTTTTTGAACTACCGTTCATCCTTTGCACAGATACCAGGAAATATATTTAAGACTTTTCAAGTCTTTATTCCAAAACAATAATTTCTTTTTCCAGACTCAAGATTATCAAATAGGTAAGTGATCAACAGAGACCTTAAAAGAACGCAGGAACAAAGATTTTTTCATGATAGGCTGCAAACAAACGGGCGAAATTAAATAAGATTTGACAAAAACGAAAAACATTTCACTCATCAAGCACTATTTGTTGTAGCTTTGAAAAAAAAACTCAAGATTTTTTTACTATTTTTTCGGACTTCATCTCCATTTTCGAGACTTTTTTCAGGTCTGGAAAATTTCTGAAAATTGATGCTCTGTACGATCCCTGAGTGTTGTACAAGGTATTTCACTCCATAACTTGCACGTGTACACCACCGTTCAGAGAGCTACTTCGGTTCCCATCGGGGATGGATTTTGATTTTCGTCACTATCCAGATCTTGGTAGTACTTCTGATTGGTGAAGGCAAATTTTTAACCAATCAGAAGAGTACTACCCAGATCTGGGTAGTGACACGTCATCAGTATGGAATTTCTGCGCTCGTTTCTCAGACGTCATTTCGCGGGGAAACCAGCGGTGGCGTCGCGAAATGTTGGCTGTTTTCTCAGGCTAACCTGGGTCAGTTACGAGAGGAAATGCCACGACATTTGATGCGCGTATCATGGCAGAAAGGCTCTACGTACGCGTGACAGAAATTAATGTGCAACGATGCTAAAGTAAGGTGATGGCTAATCCTAACACTGTACTGATGAGACCTATTTGTATTAGGAGCCAAGTAGTTGAGACTGTGAAGACATACAAACTACTCGGAGTACCTATTAGGCAGGATCTTAAATAGAACTCACATGTAGACTGTTTCATTGCTAAAGCCGCAAAACGTCTGATAGGATAGAATGTATTTAAAAGAGGGGACTCACAATTATATATCCTGAATGCACAGCCTATAATCAAGCCCTTTTAGAGGCAAAAGTCTCATCTCTAGCAAATAGAAGGGTTTCCCTGTGTCGTCGATTTGTCTGTGATGTGGCTAGCAATCACAATAATCATTCCTCATTCCCAAAACTGAAACAAGATCTGTCTGTTATAATACAAAGAACAATAAACAAATTAAGAAGAACTAAGAGAGCCGACGAATTTTTTACATTATGATTACTAGTACAACTGTATACTCCTAGCATAGTTACGTTGTATCTTTTGGATTGTATACATATCACTTGTTCATTCAGTATTTTTTAACTGCAAGAAAGTGAAATAAACTATATTTATTATTATTGGCCTCAACAGTGTGCATAAAACTTTAGCCAGGTCGGAATGAGGGAAGAAAAAGCCTCCTTTGAAATAAGCTGCTTTATAGGGTTAGCTTTTTACCAGGGTACCTACCCAGAAAACTATGCTATAGGGTGAACATTGGCTTACAGGAGCTACGGCACGAAATGTATTATAATTCAAAAAGAGAGAGCTGCCAGCAAAGTGAGTAAAACATAAAATAAAGCCGCAAAACACTAAGATAAGGTATGAAAACACAGCAAATACAAAAGGACGCATGGATAGACAAACAAGAAGAAGATTGAAATGGATTATAATTGTTTGTTTTATAAAAAAAGTTTTTTCAAAGTTCGTTTTTGTTGTTTGCAGCGTTCGATACACATAATGCCTTGGGGAGATATCTCATTGTTTGATACGAAG